GGAAATAAATGCTCATTTTATTAAAAGGGAAAATAAATAATGATCCTACAAAATTAATCTAAGAGAAAAGAAAGAATCTACAAAAATAATATAAGGGAAGAGAAAGGTGCCTATGCTAGACTTATTTGGGAAAGGAAAAAATTAAAAAGAAATAGAAAAATAGGTCATGAAATCTTGTCGTTGAAGCTCGCCTCTTGTCTTGTGTCATTCGCTTCATCATCACCCAGTCTTCTCGCTAGCTAGAAGCAATGGGATCTTGTTTGCTTCTATGAGATCTTGAATGAGATTTTGAAACCTGTAGCATTCATCAGTGGTATTACCGTTTCCTCGATGGTACTTGCAATAGGAGTTGGGATTCCATCTCGAAGATTGATTTTCTGGCGTTGGATCCTCGGTAGGGCCAATAGGTTTGATTAATCCTCGATCGTAGAGACGGTCGAAAGCAGCATCGTAGGTCATTCAAATGGGTGTGAGTTCTCTCCTGGGTTTCCTTTTATATCCTTGATTGTCCATGGCTAAGACACCATTATGGTCAAAGGTACTAACATTATTACTAGAGTGGGCGTTTTCGGAAGAAGAAGGATAGTCGTTCTTCTTTCCTTTCCAGCCACTGTGGTTACTATTGTTAGTTGCTTTTTGCTTTGCAAGGTCATCTTCGATTTCAATTCCGATGTCATAAACGGCCTTGAAAGTATTCAGATTGTGTTGATATTTCAAATGCTTCGAATACTTCTCTTGGAGATTCTTGATAAACATCCTCACAGGTTCTTTTTCAGTGGGCACCTCAATCATTTTAGCGGAAGTTTCCCTCCATTTATTAAAGAAAGAAGTAAAGCCTACATTCTCTTTTTGTCTTAGCATCTTAAGTTGCCTATAGTCGGTTTCAACTTGAATATTGCACTTGTACCTATCAATGAAATCGTTTACTATCGATTCCCAGGTAGAGGTTTTCTCTTTGTCAAGAGAGAAGAACCATTGTTGGCAAACGGTCTCAAGAGATAGTGAGAACAAAGAGGGGAAAACCTTCTTATCAATACCTTTAATGTTCATTATAGTTTTAAAAGCTCTTAGATGGAAGTAAGGGTTATATGTTGCCTTAAATTTAGGGATGTCAGTGGCGTTGAACTTATTCGGAATAAGTTCCTTGTCCAGTGAGACCCCTTGTGAACTCATGCCTTGAAATTTATAGTCACTAGATAGCTTTTTCAAACTTTCTTGCATGAGGTTCATTTGTTGTTGCTTCACAGGGTCATCAATTTTGAGGGTTAAAGCCTTTAACACCTCAGTCACGTCATTTAAAATTGACTCCTAAGTTCATTAACTTCCTCTTGACTTGCCATTATCTTTTTAGCCTTCCTCTTTTGACGAACTGGTTTATCAAAAAGTGAAACTTGAATAAAGAGGTTGTCCTTGATTAATCGCCCTTCTCTCCTCGACCAAGTACTGTGGAAAAGGAATTTGGGGATATTCATTATTAATTATTTGACTCAAACTTTATTCAACATGTAATGGATGGAGGAGGTGAAGAAAGATTGGAATAGAATGTGAAGAAAAATGATGTAGATGGAGGGATATGAAGAACTAGGAATAGAATGTACCCCTAACTCAAATGACGGAAAAAACCGACTCATGCATGAACCTAAGACATGGTCATGGTGATACATACTCGAAGTGTGTGCTAAGACTAGTGTGTGTAGGTGGTACGTTAAGACTAGTGTCATGACCATGTGGCTAGACTATGTGATTAAGTGTCTAGACTTAATTAATGACTCGACAAGGTGTTATTGACAGTGAAATTTAACCGAATTATTTAGCAAACTTGTTAATTAGACACTAGGTGATGACTCAATCAATAATCCGAACTGTCGGCAAAACGACAGGACTGGCATCGCACTGTGTAGTGTGGCGCCAGTCGACAGAGCTGTCGCTAGGCGCCACACTCCACAGAGTGGCGCTACAGTCCAGACTTTGGCGCCAAAGCTGGAACTTCAATCTGGGACTGGTTTCGGTGTTATTAATCAACAGGGATATGTCTAAAGTCGTACTAGGTCAATTCTGATTAAAATAGTAGACTTTATTTACTCAAATTAATTAATCAATTAATTAATTAGGAAAAGTTCTTTAAGTCATTAATTTATTTAATCTCAACACAAATCAAACAAACGGTTAAGAAAACATATATATGCACAACAATTAATGCACAATTAGTCAAGTAGGCACAATATGATGCAATTAGTTTGCAACCTAACCATGGCTCTAGTTCGCTAAAGTCCGGGATATGGTTTAGTCAAAGAGGGTCCATGGTTAATTGTCCGGATGCACCGCGCGGAAGCCTAACCGTGAAGGGTTGGAACGAGTGGATGGGACACCGCAAGTTTTAGAAAAACTCGCTTCTATGGTTTGGTGAATTCAACATTCTCGGATGTACCCTTTGTTGCTCAGAGCGTTCAATTAGGTAGAAGGAGCATGAAATCCTAGAGGGTTATGTCCATATGTAGAACACATATGGGTTTCAGAAAAGTGAGAAAAAACTCAATCGGGAAGTAGTATAGAGCAAATGATACGAAAAACTGGTTGAAATTAGAACGCATATTTCTGGCTCGGTATTGGAAGAATTTGGCACTAGCAAACAGAGCTTGGCGCAAAGTTTTAGCTGTAGCGCCTGGCGCCAATGTTGGCGTCTGGCGCTACAGTTAAAATTATGGCGCCAATGCTGTGGTTGCTGACGCTAATTCCTACATGCCTCAGCAGCTTTCTATGCTCGATAAAATTTTCCAATTTCGCGCAGTGTTATTTCGGTCCTAGTTGTGAATGATATTTCTCAAATTTCCTACGTGTAAAATCCTATTTTTTTAACTCATTACGGATGGTCTTTCCAATGAGATCTTTTTTATGCATATGACAATAATGTTAATCAAAATTACGCAAATGAAATACTTAGAACGTTTTGAGTCTCATCCACTCATTCTAAGTCATTGCCGAAACAAATTTAGGAATTAAAATAGAAATCCTCCCCAGTGGAGTCGCCAAAAACTGTAGGGAATAATTGCAAGCATTAATCCCCTAGCTTGAACCCCACTGTGATCATACACTAAAGTACGGTGGCGTCCAAAAGGAAAGAAGATAGAGCAAAAGAGTCGCCAACAAGTTTTAGGAACTTGTAAACCGTTCACAGGGTGAAGGTTACACCCCTTAACGATCCACGAGATCGTCAACTCCATAAGGTCTTGAACCAAAAAAGGGTTCGGGGATGAAGGTACAAATCCAACCTAAAAGAGATTGAACCTGCCCTAATAATAGGCCTCTACTTTATTCTGATAGTATTCTGTGCGCTTTTGACTAACATGCAATCAATAGGTTTAACCCTAAACCTGTTTAATATATGTTGGTTGAATATAATGCACAAATAAATCTATTATTGGCGATCACTTGAATTATAATCAAATTAACCCTAACAAGATTATTAATTATCTTATTAAGCATGATTACAAGTACCAAATTCCCTTTAAACATGCATAAAAGGTGTGATCAAGCAATAACAATAAATAATATATCAAGCAACATGATAATAATCATAAAAATAATCATAATAAACAAAATAATAATCATCATAAAATTATAATTGTAAAAACAATTATAAAAATAATCATGAATCATGTTAAAGCATAATAATAGCAAGATCCTAGGCATGATACTAACAAGATTAATAACAACCCCTAGCATGTCACTAAACAATAAAAATAAAATCTTTAACCCTAACATGATACTAACAATCATAAATATTAGGAAGAAAATAGGAAGCATCGTAACAATCATATTTAGTATTAAATTTTCCCTGGACATGATACTAGGAATATCATAATAACAATCTAAACATGAACTCTACATCATAACATCAATAAATCAATTAAAGTACTTACTTTGATGCCTCGTACCTCTTTCTAATAAAAAAATACACACATTAGTAACTTCAAGGAAAATAATAATTAAAACAATTAAATTAAATAATGGAAATAGAGATCTGGGACCAAACCCTCAAAAATTAAACCTTTCACGTCTAGGGCGAAGGCAACTTCGAATATGGCTAGGTGTATCTAGCTCTAATGAATGCGGAATTTTTATATTTTGAGAGAAGCTAGTTTAGAAAAGAGAGAGAGAGTAATCAAGAGAATCTTGATGAGAGTTGGTGAATGATAGAGAGAATCGGTGATTGTAGGTGAAAACTGGTTATCGAAAACGGAGTTTTTAGCACGTTATTTATAAAGAAAATTAGCCAAAAAGATAAAATATCAAAACAGGGTCTGGCGCACACAAAATTGAATTAGCGCCAACGCTGGCTATTGGCGCCAGGCGCCAAGCGTAGCGTCAGGTGCTACAACTGGCGTTTAGCGCTGATTTGGAAAATTACGCATTTTTCTCAAAATCAGATAAAAATTGCCATAGAGGAGAATAAAATCGTATTTCCCTCATAAATGCTCTTTGATTTAAATTAAACTCTGAAAAGTCAACAAAAGTCAATTTATCAATGCTAATTGAATTAGGAATGAAAAGAACCTTCTAGAAAAATCTAGAAGACTAAAACCATTCCTAATTGCATTAGGAATGATAAATCTATATTAGGCCCTCCTCTAGATCATTGGGCGACATATAAGGCTCAAACCGGGCCCAATTTAGTTAAATGGCCATAACTTCCTCAATATTCATCGAAATTGGGCTTATCATATATTGTTGGAAAGCTCTTGTCAAGCCCCATCCAACTACACTACTATTGGACCCATATCATGGACCAACTAAACTGGATTGGCTTCTTTCTTAAAATAAGTTTTCAAAAACAGAGAAAAGAGAAAAGAAATTAAAACTTTCCGCAACACTAAACTTTCCACACTTTCACTTCATTCGATTATGATTCGACGCGAAAGGTACTCAGCACTGGGTTTGGTTTTGGGGAGACACAAATGGGTGTCTACAACAATCTCTACTAGCAACTGCACAAATGCAGTTTAAGTGTCCTGCAACTGTCCATTTCCAAGTGCGAGTAAAAAGGCTGCATATGCTGGATCATGTCTAGCTCGAATATTTTCTGTTAACCTGAACTTAGTTAAAAGCGGCCATAAAACAGGACTTACCAAGCTAGCAGCAACTGCTTCACGTTGTGTTCTACATGGGACTACTGGAAGTACTTGCCTGAAATCTCCTCCAAATACAACAATTTTACCTCCAAATAATAAGTCTGGATTGCAGATATCTCTGAGCAACACATCAAGCGATTCAACATTTTCATTTTTCGCCATTGAAGCTTCATCCCAAATGATCAGTAATGTTTCTCTTCGCAATGCAGCTAAACTGCCTTGTTTAGGCACATTACAGGCAAGTGACTCAAGAGGATCGAGGGGAATCTTAAACCGCGAATGTGCAGTCCTTCCAGAAGGAATATTAGTTGCATCTATAACAGATGTAGCTGTCGGCAGGACAATTTTGTTCATCAGTCTTATTTCTGCATATAAAGCATTATATAGAAAGGTTTTCCTGTTCCTCCAGGACCATCTATAAAAAAATGCTCCAGGTATTTGTCCTGTGACATGATCCATTATGATATTAAATGCTTCCCGTTGAGCTTTATTTAATTGGCTTTTACATTCCAAACACTGATCAGGTATTGGAGCATTCAATGCATCTTTTATATCTTTTGTTCTTCGCATTTCATCATCATCATGTTAAACTAAATGGTCTAATCCATATGCAGTAAGAGAACTCCCCATTGACTCCAAAAACCACTCAACTGATTTAACCGTATGAACTCTGACTTTATGTGGATCAGAAGCATACCTCTGTTTAAAATCTTCAGATAAGAAGCTATAGTATTTCATCCAAAGAGAAATAGGGCTGCTAGGCTGACAGAAGATCAATACAGTAGCAAAAAGTTTACAACTGCTATTGGCATCTGAACTGCACAACCTTCTTTTAAACATAAATCAACCGAATCATCTTCTTCTAATGCCTTAGTTTGAGTGCAGCCTGCTGAAAAGTGTCACATAGATGACCATTAACTATTCGCAAGTCTTCAAATGACTTTGGACCCCTAACATTGTGTAACAACAATCTGAGATAAAATCTTTCTCCTTCTGAAAGTGCAACAAATGCTAATCTACCAATGACTATTTTTTTTATTCTGTTGTCTGTACCAATGCTTGGTAGATGCATCCCAGCGATAGTGTTCAGAAAACTCATTATACAACCAACCTGTCCCAACTAGAAGGCTACAGTTCATACGGAAAAATTCTGTGAGACAAGTCCTGGAACGCTTCCCATCTGAAACCACTAATGTAAGCTGCTCATGAGGCCTAAGATGTATTAGCTGTGAGTTGGGTAGGTGCACATGGAGTGGCAAAACAGGCGGATGCATTTTGTATAAATCAAAACCAAAAAGGCGCCAAGCAGCTTCACAAGGAGAAACCCATCGACCTGATTGATGCTGATGTATTTCATCCTGGATAGGCAAAGCATCTGTAGACTGAACAACAGTGAAAGATATTTTATCATGGCCCTTAGAAACATATTTTTATAGATACTTGATTGCCTCTATAGTAGAGCACACTTGAACATTCAAATGACAATCGAAATATGATGAAAGATATGGATTATATGGGATGACCCATTGTAGACACCCATTTGTGTCTCCCCAAAAACAAACCCAGTGATTAGTACCTTTCATGTCGAACCATAATCGAATGAAGTGAAAGTGCGGAAAGTTTAGTGTTGCGGATACTTTTAATTTCTTTTCTCTTCTCTCTGTTTTTAAAAAACTTATTTTAAGAAAACAGCCAATCCAGTATGGTTGGTCCATGATATGGGTCCAATAGTAGTGTAGTTGGATGGGGCTTGACAAGAGCTTTTCAACGATATATTATAAGCCCAATTCCGATGAATATTGAGGAAGTTATGACCAATTTACTAAACTGGGCCCGGTTTGAGCCTTATATGCGGCCTAATGATCTAGGGGAGGGCCTAATATAGATTTATCATTCCTAATGCAATTAGGAATGGTTTTAGTCTTCTAGATTCTTCTAGAAGGTTATTTTCATTCCTAATTCAATTAGCATTGATAAATTAACTTTTGTTGACTTTTCAGAGTTATAATTAAAATCAAAGAGCATTTTTGAGGGAAATACGATTTTATCCTCCTGTACGGCAATTTTTATCTGATTTTAAGAAAACGCGTGATTTTCTAAATCAGCGTCAAACGCCAGCTGTAGCGCCTGGCGCTACGCTTGGTGTTTGGCGCAAATAGCCAGCGTTGGCGCTGATCGATTTTTATGTGCGCCAGAACTCTGTTTTGATATTTTATCTTTTTGGCTGATTTTCTTTATAAATAACGTCGTAAAAACTCCGTTTTAATTACCAATTCTCACCAACTCTCATCAAGATTCTCTTGATTACTCTCTCTCTCTTTTCTAAACTAGCTTATCTCAAATATAAAAATTCTGCATTCATTAGATCTAGATACACCTATCCATATTCGAAGTTCCCTTCGCCCTAGACGTGAAAGGTTTAATTTCTGAGGGTTTGGTCCCAAATCTCTATTTCCATTATTTTATTTTATTATTTTGTTTATTATTTTCCTTGAACTTACTAACGTGTATATTTTGTTATTAGAAAGAGGTACGAGGCATCAAAATAAGTACTTTAATGGTTATTACTGATGTTATGATATAGAGTTCATGCTTAGATTGTTAGTTTGATTCCTAGTATCATGTCTAGGGTAACTTTAATATCAAGTATGATTAAAAGTATGATGCTTCCTATGTTCTTCCTAATATTTATGATTGTTAGTATCATGTTAAGGTTAAAGGTTTGATTTTTATTGTTTAGTGACATGCTAGGGTTTGTTATTAATCTTGTTAGTATCATGCCTAATATAGATTTGTACCTTGCTATTATTATGCTTTAACATTATTATGATTATTCTTTGTGATTTATGATTATAATTGTTATAATTATTGTTATAATGATTATTTTTTAATTATGATTGTTATTATTATAATTTTTGATTATTTTGATTATTATTATGTTGCTTGATTATATATTGTTATTGCTTGATCACGCCTTTTATGCATGTTTAAAGGGAATTGGTACTTGTAATCACGCTTAATAAGATAATTAATAATCTTGTTTAGAGTTAATATGGTTATAATTCAAGTGATAGCCAATAATAGATTTATTTGTGCATTAAATTCAACCAACATAGATAAACAGTTTTAGGGTTAATCCTATTGATTGCATGTTAGTCAGAAAGCGCACATGAATACGATCAGAATAAAGTAGAGGCCTATTATTAGGGCAGGTTCAATCTCTTTTAGGTTGGATTTGTACCTTCATCCCCGAACCCTATTTGGTTCAAGACCTTATGGAGTTGACGATCTCTTGGATCGTTAAGGGGTGTAACCTTCACCTCGTGAAGGGTTTACAAGTTCCTAAAAAACTTGTTGGCGACTCTTTTGCTCTATCTTCTTTCCCTTTGGACGCCACCGTACTTTAGTGTATGATCACAGTGGGGTTCGAGCTAGGGGTTAATGCTTGAAATATTCCCTACAGTTTTTGGCGACTCCACTGGGGAGGATTTCTATTTTAATTCCCGAATTTGTTTCGGCAATGATTTAGAATGAGTGGATGAGACTCGAAACGTTCTAAGTATTTCATGTGCGTAATTTTGATTAACATTATTGTCATATGCATAAAAAAGATCTCATTGGAAAGACCATCCGTAATGAGTTAAAACATAGGATTTTACACATAGGAAATTTGGGAAATATCTTTCACAACTAGGACCGAAATAACACTGCGCGAAACTGGAAAATTTTATCGAGCACAGAATTAGCTGCTGAGGCATGTAGGAATTAGCGTCAGCGACCAGAGGATTGGCGCCATATTTTTAACTGTAGCGCCAGACACCAACATTGGCGCCAGGCGCTACAGCTAAAACTTGGCGCCAAGCTCTGTTTGCTGGCGCCAAATTCTTCCAATACCGAGCCAGAAATATGCGTTCTAATTTCGACCAGTTTTTCGTATTGTTTGCTCGATCCTATTTCCTGATTGAGTTTTTTCTCACTTTTCTGAAACCCATATGTGTTCTACATATGGACATAACCCTCTGGGAATTCATGCTCCATCTACCTGATTGAATGCTCTGAGCAACAAAGGGTAAATACGAGGTTGTTGAATTCACCAAACCATGGAAGCGAGTTTTTTCTAAAACTCGCGGTATCCCATCCACTCGCGCCAACCCTTCACGGTTAGGCTTCCGCGCGGTGCATCCAGAAAATTAACCATGGACCCTTTATTGACTAAACCATATCCTGAACTTTAGAGAACTAGAGCCATGGTTAGGTTGCAAACTCATTGCATCATATTGTGCCTACTTGATTAATTGTGCATTATTTGTTATGCATATATTCTATGTTTTCTTAACCGTTTATTTGACTTGTGTTGAGATTTAATAAATTAATGACTTAAAAGACTTTACCTAATTAATTAATTAATTAATTTGAGTTAATAAAGTCTAATATTTTAATCAGAATTGACCTAGTACGACTTTAGGCATACCCCTGTTGATTAATAACACCGAAAACAGGCCCAGATTGAAGCTCTAGCATTGGCGCCAAAGTCTGGACTGTAGCGCCACTCTGTGGAGTGTGGCGCCAGGCGAAAACTCTGTCATCTGGCGCTACGCTACACAGTGTGACGCCAGTCCTGTCGTTTTGCCGACAGTTCGGATTATTGGTCGAGTCATCACCTAGTGTCTAATTAACCAGTTTGTTAATTAATTCGGTTCATTTTCGCTGTCAATAGTACTTGGTTGAGTCATTAATCGAGTTTAGGCACTAAGTCCCCTGGTCTTAAACAAGAGTCCAAACATGTCACTTACACTCAACGCACTCACCAATACACACACTTTGACCATGTCTAAGGGAGTCTTGCATGCGCGTTTTTTCCGTCATTTTTTTTACGGGGGTAAGTCGGATATTAATCCTCCAATTTAAAAACTATACTTAGTTCCCTAAAAATATGTACATTATTTTTGGCCAAAAAAAGCACCCATTTTTTTATTTTATTTTTTTTCCTCTTTAAAAAACCGTAAAGTCAAGTCGATTTGAGTCAAGTAATTAAAACGCAAAACGGTTTAAATTACAGCGCGTGGTCAAGAAAGGAAGGACGGTTAATCAAAGACAACCTCTTCGTACAAGTCCAACTTTTCGACAAACCCATAGCTCGTAAGAGGAAAGCTAAGACCATAATGGCAACACAAGAAGAAGTCAATGAGCTTAGGAACCAACTGGTTACCGTGACTGAAACACTGAAGCTCCTCACACTTAAGATCGATGATACCGTAAAACAACAACAGATGGACCTCATGCAAGAGAGTCTAAGCAAGCTATCTAGCGACTACAAGTTTCAAGGGCTTACTTCACAAGGGGTCTCGGTGGACAAAGATCTTCCGCAGAAGTTCAATGCCAACGACATCCCGAAATTCAAGAGCATTCGATAATCCTTATTTTCATTTAAGAGCATTCGAAACGATAATGGGTATTAAGGGTATCGATAAGAAGGTTTTCCCCTCTCTATTTTCACTATCTCTCGAGACCGTTTGCCAACAATGGTTCTTTTCTCTCTAGAAAGAAAAGACCTCTACCTGGGAGTCCAT